ATTTTTATTTTGGGTCCTCCGGTTTTCCCCTCTACATTTAGAAACACGCGTTTAGACAAATTGGCTGTTATACATTTCCACGTGATAACCCACGTCGCTGAGCTATCATTCATGGTCAGGTCACTTCTAAAGAAGAGCTACACGGCTCGGCGAGCCTTTACCTGATAACATTATAATAGTTCAGCAGTGCTGACAACTTTCTTCCTTTGTTCAAGTCCTGTCCCAAGACCTTCCTCTTCCCATCTGCCTGTGATTACCTCTTCCTGTGATAGCATTGTTCAGGGCTCACACAGTCAATCATTATAGCAGGGCTGATGAAAGTATGACCACATTGTTTAATCCAACAGTGGCTGTGTACATGATAAGTCCCCGCCATAGTAATGTGGGATTTCCATACTTGGGTTCAGTGGAGGAGAGATCACCATCAAATGCTCGTCCGAGACTCATAGAATTGACGCCCAGTCCACTGTCTAGAGGCAGCGTCGCGTTAAACAAAATCCATTGTTGTACTATACTTCTATGCTGCCACGTTACTGCTCCTCCCCCTCCCCTCACACCCCCCCCCCCCCCACCTCACCATCGTCACCGAGACGCAATGATCAGCGTGGTGAAGTGCGGTCGCGTAAATCTCACCCACGATCCGCATGGCATGGGGAGGGGACACACATCCAGCAGTGGATTGGCAAAAGGGCTGCGTCTGATCGCGCGATCTTCCCCACGTCCGAGGTTATTGTTCACGCGCACGCACGCGTCTGTCTCATCCGCTGGACCGCTCGCTTCGCCGGCTTCGTGCGCCGTTTCCTGAACACTGACTGACGTCCTCGTGTACGACTGCGCCGCGTAATGGCAGAAAGTAATTGGCCGACAGCGCTGACATTTGGCGTCAAATATTTCTCAATAGACCCCACGGACGCTCACCCCATCACGCGAAAAGTCGGAAGAGTTTGGACAATTTGTTATGAAGGTGTTTTTTTTTATCAAGTGCGGATAATCGTGACGTATTAACGATGGAGTGTAGGCCCATGTCTTTAGCAACCGATTCAAATTACGTGGATGAGAAATTTCCCTGAGATAGGATCAAATTCTCTGGAAGTATCTTGCACGCGCGTGTGTGCGTGTGTGTGGTGCTGGTGGGGAGTGGTCATTTAGTGGTTGGCGCTCTGCTCGACGAATCCAGCGACCCGAGTTCGATGGCCGCTCCCCTAGGTCAACTCAGCCTCCAATGAGTACCCGGTGTGATTTGTAAACATCGCCACTCGGGAGACAAAGGCGGCCGGGCGTGGTGCTGACCCCCGATCCCGTGGTGTCCCGTGCCGGCCTTCATAGCTGCTCGCTAACAAAATGTGCCCAGAAAAAATATCTGCTAGGGCGAAACGGGGGAATCTTTGTGATTGTGTGCAGGTGTGTATTAGTTCATCCGTATGTGTGTGTGTATATGCGTGAGTGCGTCGGTCCGTTCATCTGTGTGTGTGTGTATCACCACTCACAAATCCACCATTCGCCCCCTCGCCCCCTCCAAAAACAAAACACGCATAACAGATTTTCACAACATTGCAGCAGTGGCAGCAGCAGTGGCAGCAGCAGCGGCGGCAGCGGCAGCAGCAGCGGCAGCAGTGGCAGCAGCAGCGGCAGCAGTGGCAGCAACAGCGGCAGCAGTAGCGGCAGCAGCAGCAGCTAGAGCGACGCGCTTCGTGTGCCCTCTCCGAGAAGCCAGGGCTGGCTGGCAGGGCCAGCGGGCCAAGCGGTGGGGCAGGGTTAGTCTCGGGGGCTCTAGGGGATAATCGGCGGGTACATTGCGAGGGCGCTCAGAGAGGGTGGCGGGCGGGCGGGGGGAGGGGGTTCAGGGCTGATGGACAGCCCTCGGTGACTCGACAAGAGCTCATTTTGGGGGCTAATCGGAGGACAAACTCGACCCCCACCGGCACTCGGCGACCCCGGGCGTGACCCCCGCGCTATTGTGGGCGTCGAATTCCAAGCGGCGCTCACGATGGGCGCGAGCTTTCTCAGCAGCACGAGGCGCGTCGCGGGAGACGTTTGGTGGGAGACGAGGGGGAGACGGAGGGAGACGACGAGGGATGGAGGGAGACGAGGGGGAGACGAGGGGGGGACGAGGGGGAGATGGAGGGAGCGGGGGTGCGGGTGTGGAACCGCATGCCGATGTGGCCCGACTCTGAGCCGTGGCAGACTGAGTAGTGGTAGACTGAGTGCAACCACGCCCCACCGTATGGGCAGTGTTGGTCAACGGGCCCAGCACGTGCGGAATAATGGGGCCTGAATAACATCATGTGGACCCCCATGCGAAGGCATTGAATGCATTGTTAGCCGGTAGAATACAATGCATTGCCGGGACAACACGTGACAATTTGCCCAACATAGATCATTGATGACCCACCTCATTACGGTTTCCGCCCAATGTTAAGCACTATCAACGCGTGACGATTTGACATGATACAAATACAAACCGCAGTACGAACTCTTGACACTGGATCTCAACACACTTCAACGCTGTGTTGCCCAACAACGGGCCAATATTGCCGAACACAAGCTTTGGCAACATCAAACCCAATCGCCCCTCAATAACATAAATAGCCACTTTCTGGGGCGTCAACAGTGATTGTGCGATTTACTGCATGGCCCCTGGCCATGGGAATGTGGAATTCCATCACTGGCTCAGAGACTCGTGGTGGTGGAATGCTCGTGTGAAAAGTGTGAGATGTTTTTGCCAGCGCTGGGCTCTCCAGTTATCTGAGTGATGCATTGCTCAACCGATTATCGATTACGTATCTCGACTAATCGGATAACATAAAAAATCGAAGAAAAAAAACATCACCTCTGTTCTCACGTGTGCCGCTGGTCGCGTCAAACCGAGCGTGGCTTGTCGGGGATTTCCCGCCTTCGAAAGTTAGGGTGTTAGGGTGGGGGCGGGGGGGGTGCCACCACGACTGAAGGGTAATTGACCACAACAAACGAAGTCCACTTCAAAGCATCATCTACCAGCTCCAGTTTGAACCTCGCCTGTATCTCCCGCACGCCCTTGCGATTTTAATCTCAATTAGTGCGGTTTGTGGTCGTTCAATTATACATTAAATACAGGCTCCTTGGGTGCAGAGCTCATCATCGTAGAGATTAATGCCAGTATAAGTCAATCTGGCTGTCGCCACATTTAACTTGCGCGAGAGGCCCGCTGAGATTACATTTCCATCTCTTGCAGCCACGACGGGAGCGACCTGCATCACAACCCGATCCTGTCGGATCTTTTCACAAGCTCAGCAGGGTTGAGCATTGGTGAGCACTCAGATGGGAGACCGCCTGTGAATACGAAAGGGTGAATAATAATAATAGTGTCGACTGCACGGTACAGAACTGACTCGCTGTCGAATAGGGAGAACGACTCAGAGGAGGAACCACAGACGAGCGAGGAAAGCAGCAACCACGTGATGAGCTGCATCCCCCCCCCCCTCCCGCCCAAGCTCTGCGGTCCTCTATTTATGTATGTTGAACTTCTTTCACACCGTACGTAGCCAAGCGTGGGGGAAATACAATTTCTTGCTGTGGTTTTCACACCTGATGATGATTGCTTGTATTGCAATCGAAACGTCGTGAGAATTGTATAAAATATTTTATTATTTTATTATTTCCCTCTACGTGACTTTACCGAAAGAACCAATAATATAATAAAACTAACAGCGCTTATCCCAACCAGCTGGGGATTAGTCCACTTGCTGTGTCGCCTTCTCCTGGCGAGCCAGCAGGGTACGGCACCACCTCAACACTCACGGGTCGTAGGAGGGAGTCTCACAACAACTTCTGTTGGTGCGGTGATCCATCAACCCTCGCTGCTGCGGCTGCCACCACAGTGCCGGGTTACAGGCAGCCCACGTGGCCTGGCCTGGGAGGTGGCCACGAGCTGGCAAGCATTACTACACGATGTTTGAACTTTAGTTGTATGTTTCAATTTAAAGCTTTTGTAACTGCAGAGATTCATCTTCTTGGTTCTTTCTGTCTCCTCGACAGACATGTTCTCCACCTGAAGACGGCTGCTTGCGTTGTGGCCGAAACGTCGTGAGAATTATTTTATTATGTTTAATTTTATTATTTTATTATTTTCCTTCTACGTGACTTTACCGAAAGAACCAAGAAGATTTATTTGTATGGTTTTTTGTATTACCAAGTAAGGCCCACTAAGCTATATAGATATTATATTATTTGGGTTTTCGGTAAAGTCACGTCGATAGGTTAAAAGAAAATAGTTTTTTGTTATTTTTTGTTATTTTCTTTCAACCCATCTAGGTGTCTTTACCGAAAAACCCAAAGAATATGAATTCCTGCAGTCACGAAAGCTTTAAGTGAAGATTTATACAACTATTTTTCAGAAGTGACCTGACCACGAATTATAGGTCAACGAAGTGGCTCATCATCATGTGGAAATAGCAGCCAAATACTCTGAACGCACGCTGATTATAAATGTGGAAGGGAAAACACGGAGGACCTTGAGAAAAATCCACGCGACCACGGGGAGAGAGACATGCAAACTCCAAATATACATGCGTCAGGGTCGGGATCGGGATCGGGATCGAACCCACAACCTCCTGAATACCAGGCGAGGTAGTTAACATTTTGCCACGGTAGCACCCACAATATATGATTCCGTAATAGCTATGCGGAGCTTTGAGTGTCACCCCCTCATATGCGTGAGTTTTCTTCGGATTTTCAGGTTCGTTCCACACAAGAAGCCGAGAAATCGTCATTTGATTTGGGCCAAACATTTCGACGTAAGAATGCATCCTGAGATTCAGCGAGGCTCTGTCGGGTAAATCATCATCATCATCAACATCATCCATTATCTATCCACTTTTGGATGGAAGCATCAAGTCGTCACTCCTGGGGCAATTAAAAAAGCATAATTGTTTGTTATTGTTGTTGTTGTAAGATCTCCCTTTTACAAAAAACAAGAAACAAAAGCGCGTGAAAAGATACTGTAAATGTTAATTTATTTGGCATTCTGCAAATTGCGGAGTAATTTTCAAGTCATGTAATTAGTAGGATTTGCCACATGTACGTGTGCGTGTGTGTGTACCTTACACAATGGGGAGCTGTGACGCAGTGGTGGGCGCGCTGCTCTACAAACCCGGCCACCCAAGTTCGATTCCCGCTCACGACCACCAACACCTGTGACGATTATCAGAACCGGTCACGGGCCTGTCCCGAGGTCGCCTCGACCTCTCACGGGTAGCTCGTGCGAGGTGCTCACATTGCCACCGGGGGAGACAAAGGCGGCTGCGCGCGTTGTTTTGTTTGTTTGGCCAAACCACCCCGTGGTTTTGCCACTCACTAACAGCACTTGCCCCAACAGTCTGTTAAGCCTATACAGGGCGCGGGGGGATCTTTGTCTGTGTGTGTGCAAAGCACGTGTGTGCAGGGCGCGCGCGCGCGCGTGTGTGTGCGAGGTGTGTGCGAGGTGTGTGTGCGCGTTGTGTGTGTGTGCAAGGTGTGTGTGTGCGTTGTGTGTGTGTGCGAGGTGTGTGCAAGGTGTGTGTGTGTGCAAGGTGTGTGTGCGCGTTGTGTGTGTGCGAGGTGTGTGTGTGCGTTGTGTGTGTGTGCGAGGTGTGTGCAAGGTGTGTGTGTGTGCAAGGTGTGTGTGTGCGTTGTGTGTGTGTGTGCGCATTGTGTGTGTGTGCGTTGTGTGTGCGCATTGTGTGTGCGTGCGCATTGTGTGTGTGTGCGCGTTGTGTGTGTGTGTGCAGCCGCGTTATTATTCCCATGCGGGAGTGGCCGCTTGTTAACAGATGGTGCTCGCACGATCGCCGCCTTCATCATCCAAGAGGCGGCCACATTACCAGCAGCAGCAGCAGCAGCGGCGGCAGCGGCAGCAGTTGTCGCTGTTTAAGCAGCCGAGTCGGCTTAGTGCGGTGCTCCGCGCGCCCTGCCCCTGGCCCTGCCGGGAAAGCAGTCGTTGTGTGCCAATGAGAGCATTAGCCCTGCTGCAGTGTTTACTGTCGGTGTGTGTGTGCGTCTGTCAGTCAGTGTGTGTGTAAGTGTCTGTGAGTGTGTGTGTGTAAGTGTCGGGGAGCGGTAGTGTGGCGGTTAGCGCGCTGCGCTACGAAAACCGGCGAACCGAGTTCGATTCACGGTCAACATCGGTGACGATTATCTGAACGGGTCGTGGGCCTCCCCTAGGTCGACTCAGCCTCAAATGAGTACCTGGTGCGGTGGGTAAAAACATCACCACTGGGCAGACAAAGGCGGTCGGGCGTGGTGCTGGCAAACCACGCCCTCGTGTGCCGTTCTGACCATCATAGGTGCTCGCTAACATCACTTGCCCCAACAGTCTGTTAAGGCTATACGGGGGATCTTTGTATTTTAATCTAAGTGTGTGTCTGCGTGTATGGGAAGCGGTAGTGTAGCGGTTAGCGCGCTGCACTACGAACCCGGCCAACCGAGTTAGATTCCCGCTCACGGCGAACACCAGTGACGATTATCTGAACCGGTCCTGGGCCTCCCCTAGGTGAACTCAGCCCCAAATGAGTTCCTGGTCCGGTGTGTAAACATCTCTCCTGGGGAGACAAAGGCGGTCGGGTGTGGTTCTGGCCACCCCACCCCCTCGCGCCGACCTTCAAAGGTGCTCCCTAACAGCACTTGCCCCAACAGTCTGTTAAGTCTCTACACGCGGGGCTCTTTGTCTTGCGTGCGTGAGCGTGCTCATGGTTACAGCTCAGGGAATGTGTTTGGCGTGTGGCTTACCGGCCCGGGGAGACGCAGACTCTTGGCTGCGTGAGAAGGAGGTTCCTGGCTACTAATCCTGTGGGCAGCCAACATTGTGCTGCTGCTGCTGCTTCTATTGCTGTGCTGAGCACTGAGCACATACATGCAGACAGAGAGGCACACACGCACGCACAGAGAGACGGGCAGACAGAGAGACGAGGCATTACCTGCGTGAGAGCCACGTGAGAGAGAGAGCTACGCCACAGAGAAGGGCAAAGGGTCCTTTATTGACACGGGGGAGCCTCGGCCGATTCTTAAGGCTCATTTTCAGGAGGATCCCGCCCGCTTTGTGGTGTTTGGCGAATTTCTTATCGCGTTTCACACACTCACACAAGAAAAGCCCCACTCGGAATCTGCCCACGCATGCGATTGGTGCTCAGAGATCTGTATGGGATAGGTTAGTAACCTACCTGCTGTACTGCCTGGTGCAAGCCAACCTCGCGGGCAAATCGCTCGTGGTGGTCTCACGTACGAACGTCTCTCATTGATGCACCGACCCGGAGTTGGATGCATGCGCCACGATGGTACACATCGATGCGTGGAGATAAATCTCATTAAAATATCGTTTTCACTGTTTTTTTTCCCTTCTAATCAGGAATCGGGCAATTTGTTTGATGACGCAAATCGCTTGGAAATTACTTTACTTCACGCAGCATGAGCAGATTCACTTATACTGCATGACATTAGTATTCATTGTCAATATCACTTAACGTATTCTGGTGCTGGACCACATATGGCGACAATTAAGTGGCCAAATGATGTGATTGTTCAGTGCCGCTGCAGTTGAGTGAGCAGTTTATTTCCCGCACCGCATCGCTCCTCCTCCACACCACCACCACCACCAACTGCCACGACCAACCACTACCAACCACCACCAATCACCACCACCACTACCACCACCATCACCACCAACCACTACCAACCACCACCAATCACCACCACCAACCACCACCAACCACTACCAACCACCACCAATCACCACCAACCACTACCAACCACCACCAACCACCACCACCAACTGCCACGACCAACCACTACCAACCACCACCAACCACCACCAACCACCACCAACACTGACAGCTTCTCACTTGCTCGCCGATTTTCTCTCCTCGGCAGCTGAAGTGCCGAACGCTCAGAATCAGAATATGTATTTAGCCTGGAGAAATCCGATGAATTATGAAGCTCTTCTTCGCAGGAATGAGTGCCGTGTCACGTGGTCGCGACGCGTCCGTCCCACGCCTTGTGACGTCTCCTTGATGACGCTCTGCTGTGCGCTGTAACCACGGTAACCACGGTAACCACGTGTGTGCGCGGTGCTTTGGGTAACCACGAATTACGTGTCGAGGAAAAATAGCTCCTCCATAACGCGCAAGACGCATAACTCCAGTATAACACGTACCGCGAATGAAGCTATAGAGCTCTTTTTTAGAAGCGACTTGGTCACAAATGATAGCTCAACAAAGTGGAAAATTATAGCAGCCATATTACTCTAAACCCGGAGAAAAATCTACGCGACCACGGAGAGAGAGACATGCAAACTCAAAATATAAAGCAGGTGTCAGGGTCGGGATCAAACCCACGACCTCCTGTATACCAGGCGAGGTAGTTAACATCTCCTAGCCACCGTGGCTTGTCTATTTAGATAAACGTGGGCAGTTACTTACTCTTAACTTCCTTAATGGCCTTAAACATTAGCTGTCTTTAACAAGGACGCACACGTGTTTGTAATGTCAATTCACGTGACGTGTGATTTTATACTTATAAACAACACCTTAGCTGAAGGCGCTCTATAACATAGTTTACAAGCGGTAACAAAAATAAAGTTATTTAGATGGCAGTGCAAGTGTCAATGAACGAGTGTGACCGTAACAGAGGGCACATGGGGGTCACGATGAGCCAGGGTAGGGGAGAAACGGGAAGAGGTGGAGGAGCGATGGGAGGGAAGAGGAAGGGAATTGACAATGGAGAAGCGGCGAGGCTTTTGCAGAGGAGCGACAGGAGGTGTGGATGTCGACGTTCCAGAAAATATATCGATTGAGAAAGTCAACCCGTGATACGTGTGGCAGGGGGCTTCGACGAAAATAGACTCTACACTCTTTGGTTCTTTCGGTAAAGTCACGTAGTTAAAAATACATTAAAATAAAACAAATCACGACGTTTCGATTGCAACACAAGAAATCATCATCAGGTGGGAAAACCACAGCAATAGTTTGTTTTGCTGAAGTGGGAGAGAGAGCTGCCGTGGCAAGACGTTATATAGTTAAGAAGGGGGAGGGGCAAGGGGGGAGAGAGACTCCCGGATTGTGTGGTCGTGTGGCACCACGTGTTGTTCGGCACAAGGTGCGCCACACGCACACGCAGGAGAGAGACTCAGCACCACCGCGAACACGCGGGGCGGTACAAAGGGGCTCTCCATTTGCCATCGATCATCATCATCGTCATCATCATTGTCATCGTCATTATCATTATCATCATCATTGTCATCATCATCATCGTCATTATCATTATCATGAGCATTGCTCTACAGGGCGCCACGGTAGCGCGATGTTAACTACCTCGCCTCGGATACAAGAGGTCGTGGGGTCGATTCCAACCCTGACGATTTTTGGAGTTTGCATGTTCTCCCCGTGGTCACGTGGATTTTTTTCCGTGTTTTTCGTCTGTATGTAGAAGCATGCGCTTGGAGTATTTATTTGCGATGAATGTCCACGTGATAAGCCACTACGTTGAGCTATCATTTGTTGTAGCCAGGTCGCTTCGGATTTTTTTTCTCTATATCTCAGTGTGGGCCTTGCCTGGTAAAATACAAATAGTTTAGTTTATAGTTTAGTTTTATATTCTATTGCTGGTTGATTCCAGTCCAGCTTAAATAACTGAAGGATTAATACGATGATGCGTTTGTTCATCACGTGACAACTTTCATCTATTAGCGGTCTCGGGTGGAGGGGGTTAACGACGCGCATTTTTATTCACGCGATCACCACCCAAACATCAACGACGAATCACAATATTGGTCGCCAAAGCCTACGAGTTCAACTTGGCCCCGAAGTGTTTTTTTTTCATCTTCTTCTTCCAGTCGTCGCGTTCCAACAGACGCATGGCCAAGTTGTTCTCTCTGCGATTATCTGTTTTGACAGTTTCTCAATTCGTCGCTGAGCGTCTCATCTCGCGGCTTAAGTGCGATTCCGCTGTAATGGGCTTCGACTCGCTCAGGTGGCTCCCGATGTGTGTGTGTTCAGGTTACAGCCACCGCGCCGTAGAACGCGTGGACGCATCGGCGAGGCCCGGCCGTGAGAACAGACGCCGCTCCGCGCAGCGCAGCAGAGTCGAGGCTCTTGTTGTAGCGTAGCCTCCTCCTCCGACGACGAGCGGATCCTAAACTTTCCCGAGCCCCCCTCGACCCCCTTCGCTTCCCGTTGATCCGTTCCTTTTTCTATCCTTGCTCTGATATTTCCCATTCTCTTCTCCTTCTCTCTCACCGCTTCCCATCCCGTCAGTTGGTGGCCACGCATTCCGTCCTTGCCTCTCCACCCCCACCACCTACCTGTGGTGGTGGTGTGCCACGGGTAAAATAGTTGCTACTTTACAGCGAAAAAAAGAAAACACCCCAAAGGTTTTAGCGTTAATGGATTTCTCCGCAGATCTGTGCTTTGCCGCGGTGCGTGGCAGAGACGCAAACAATGTAGCGTGCGCGTGCGAGTTGAGATGTCGACTTGGCAATATTACGGGGTTTGTGGTCGGAGTGTGGCTTTGGCAGGGGCTTATCTTGCATAATCTGTTATCTTTAGCTTTTGAGCAGTCACGGGGGTGCTTGTGCATTGTGTAAACGGCTTTTTTAGAAACACTTATACGAGTGAGCTTGTCTCGCCTCGCCACGGCCAGTTTTTGTGTTCTCATCCGTTCTGAATGTTTAGTCTAACTTTGCATTTATTTTCTGCGTTCGCCTTTCGTGACCTGCGGCCGCATCACCCGGAATGCGCCCCTATCTGTACCCATGTCGCGCAACTAGTAAGCACGGGTTGAGCCTGTGGGCAGTGTTGGTATGGGCGACAATCACGTGTTAAACACAGGTGATAATGATGATGAAAATGAATAGCAATGATTTGGTTTAGATCTTAAGTTTTCGTGACTGCAATGTTCCATACTCTTTGATTCTTTCGGTAAAGTCACGTAGGTATAAAATAAAATAAAAACTTTTTTACAAAAATTTGTAACAATACATTTAAAAAAATATATATATATTTTTTTTATTGTTACATTTTTTTTTTATAAAAAAGTTTTTGTATTTTATTTTATACTTACGTGACTTTACCGAAAGAACCAAAGAGCAATGATATGATTTCATGCAGCCTTCTATCATTGAAGCGTGTGATAATGTCAGCAATATGTTCAGGAGATAAATGCCCAAATGTCCGAGGTCTGCTGCTGTTGGCCACGACAAGAGGGCTTCATGTATGTATGTTGTACTATATTGAACTTCGTTCGCACCGTACGTAGCCAACCGTGATAATCGGAGGTGCTGGGGAAGGACAACAAACTAAAAACACAAGAAGCAATTCAGGAGAGAGATTCGTGTAGTTTTGCATTTCCTCATCCATTGAAGGAGTGCGCCGTTCATGAACAATGCATCACAGAACGCCGTTTTTTTATTTCACCGCAAGACAAATGCAGCCGGAACCGATGGCGTCGATTTTCCTAATCTCCGTGGTCCTATATTGGGATGTTTGTCCAACTCCGTTAATGAGCGTTTATTCGTGAACCTACATGTGGGAGGAAACCGGAGTGGCCGGGGGAAATCAATGCCACTCGATCCACCTCCATACACATGGCGATTAATCGACTTGCTGTGCTGCCTTACCTACTCAGGCAAACAAGGGAAATTATTTAAACTATGGACTATTTAAAAAATAGATGTATCAGTAAGGCACATTGAGCTATATAGTAGCTCTTATTAAGAAGCGACTTGGTCACCAATTATTGCTCTACGAAGTGGCTTATCACGTGGAAATGTATAGCAGTCAAAAGCACGTTGATTATAAACGTGGAGGGAAAATTGGAGGACCCGGAGAAAAATCCACGCGACCACGGGGGGAGAGAGAGAGAAAGAACATGCTAATTCCAAATATACAGCAGGCGTCAGGATCTGGATCGAACCCACGACCTCCTATATACACCGCGGCGCTAACCACTACACTACCGCTCTCTCATCTCCAGGAGATGGCGACATCAGTGTCCGCGGGTAGGCAAGGGAGGGTCACGACTTTGTGGTCTACCAACCCTCCCTGACTCTCTCCACAGTGCTGCATTAGAGGCGTGCACCTCCAGATGTCACGGCCTCTCGCTGGGCTTCTTGGTGGCCACCAGATGGTAGTGCTGTAAACATCCAATGTTGTATTCTACTATGTCCCCACGTCTATGCTCCACTCCTTCACTAATCCGCACTGACCAGCGTGGTGAAGTATGGTCAAATAACTACCCTCCTCAACCTCCCTCAATGTACATATATACGATGAGAATTTGCTGATTATGTAAATTGTTGTACGATATATTGAGCGAATTGTTTAGTTTTTAATCAGAAACTAGCAACGCGCATGTCCTTTGGACGTGACCGTCCGTCTGTCCCTCCCTCCGGACGTAACGCCCAGCCAGTCGGCCAGCCAGCAAAACTTTTATATTTTTTTGTAATATGACATGTGTACATCGTTACTTCACCGCGCTGGTCAATGTGTGTCGGTGAAGGCGTAGGGGGAGTGCAAAAGGGCAATGATTTGTTTTGTACTGCACTGCCCACAACGCCTGCTGCATCTCACTTTTGTTCAAAGTGGTTACCTATCCAAGCACTATCCAGGCTCAACCCCGCTTAGCTACAGAAGTATAACGGGATTGTGTGCATTCTGCGCTAGGTCTAGAATGATCAGAATCAAAATATTTATATATACCGGAGATATCCGATGAGCTAAAACGCGCCCCCCCCCCACACAGATGTCCAGTAGGTGCAATTCAGAACGTTACAACAACAAACAATACAAAGCTGCGCCGTCGACTGCAATAACCCAGCGACACCGGTACCAAATCTCGGTGCAAATCAATTCCTGCTGCCACCCGAACTCAGAAGCCAATTTCCCGGACTGTGTGAGTCACACGGGGACACGTGGCATTGCTCGTAGGCCCTCACGTCACTCCTCCGCAGTGAAAACACCTGCGTGGTCAGACGATCAGCTGAGTTGAACCCTGAGCGGCATTTGACCTTGTGACCTCCTACGTGTGAGTCGAGATGCTCTAGCCGCAATGCCACCTGCCCCAGCAACACGCCCCACTAATCCACACACAAAGACAAAGATCACCCATGTAGCCCTATATATACACACTGTTTGGAGCAAGTGCTGCCAGGGAGCACCTATGAAGGGCGGAACGCTACACGACGTTGTGGGTGGCCAGCACCGCCCACAACCAATGACGAATATTTGAACCGGTCCTGGCCCTTCCCTAGGTTGACTCAGCCGTTAGCAAGTAGCTGTTATGGTTTATAAACTTCAGCACAAAGGAGACAACGGCGGCTGGGCATGGTGCTGGCCTATGATGGGAGCTAACAAATTGTTCAATTCCTAGCCCGGGTGAACATCAGATCACATCATTCAAGCAATTAGAAACATGTTACCTGGTCTGGGCCACTCCAAGGTTGACTTTGAATGCTTGTTGTCATCAGCATCGGAGAAACAAAGGTGGCTGGGTGACCACTGGTCACAGCCCCCCCCCCCCCCCAATCTCATGCGCTGCGACAGTCTTAATAGTTATCCTTAAATGAGTACCTGCCGTGGTGTATAAACACAAGCAGTGGGGGGACACCCCCCTCGTGCGCCGTGCCGGCCTTCGTGGGGCGCTGCTCGCGAACGGCACTTGCCCCGGTAGTCCGCTGAAGTCGCGCCTCCGATTAGCACGGTTGGCTACGTACGGTGCGAAAGAAGTTAAACGTGCGTACGTACAAATGCTATGGGGGGGGAGGGCACATTTGCCTTTGTGCGCTCCAGCTTCAAAAGCTCGCTAACTCACCAGCCGCGCGTTGCGACCGCCAAAAATGCGAAACATGTTAATCCCGCGTGGGCGACGGGGACATTCTCAACGCCGAACAGGGCAGAGCAGGACAGGGAAGGGGCTTTGACGTTGCATGTACAGTACCCACATGCCCCCCTGCCCATAGTCGCATGCACGGACACGGATTTGCCGATGGCCGGCACCTCGCGCTGTCAAGATCGGCCTCTGTGGAGGGAGGGGAGGAGGAGGAGGAGGCTCGTGAAGGACGTTCCTGGGTAGCGGGAGGCAGTCGCCCCTCCAGCAAACAACGGAGGGTGGAGGGAGCGACGCTCACAGCAGGTCGGATAAAACTCAGCAATTGTTGCGCAGTAGGGAGTTACAGGTGGCCGCGAACCCATGGCAACCGGGTCTGTCCCGTGACCTCCTGCCAGCAGCGGGCCTTCAACACTTCACGTGCCATCAAAGTGCACCTAGCCTGGCACACGCGCAGCGGGGGACGTCACCGCCACTCAGTGGCGAATGGCGGCTGCTGTTGTTGTTGCTGCTGCTGCACACCCATTGCGCAAACTTCAGCGTCGAGTGATATCCGAACCGAGCCTGCCCCCCACTAGGTTGACTCAGCCCTAAATGAGTGCACTACCTCCTGCGGGGTGCACATGTGCACGACTGGGGGGAGACAAAGGTGGCTGGGCGTGGCTTTGTCCCCGCCGCCCGCTTTCTTGTGCGCCGTTCCCGCTCCAGCCTTAATAGGTGCTCGCGAACAGCACTTGGCCAAACAGTATGCTGCATGCTGCACAGGGGATATTTGTCTTTCTTACCAGGATACAGCTCCCCCGCCCCCATTTCGCCTTATGGACTATTTCATTGTTTGCGAGCACCTATTAAGGCTGGCATGTGGGGGGGGGGGGGTGGCTTACATGGTGTGTGTTGGTGAACGGAGAACCCAGGACAGGTTCAGATACCACTCGCCACTCATATTAGCCCTGGCCACGGATCAAACTCAAGTCACGGGTTCCCAGAGCAGTGTGCTTAACCACTGCGCCACCACTCCTCGCCACAGGATACAATACAGCAGAAGCAAGAATCGTGACGGAGTGGCAGCAGCCAAGGAAGAGAAGGCGAATGAGAGGACTTCCACCGGAGAGTTGAAGCGGTGAAATCAGCCCGTGGTGCCGGGTGTATCGTAACATCGCAGAACCGTGAGATGGCAATGTCTCGGAGAGGCCTTCTTCCAGCAGTGGATTGATCGTGGCTCTTCATAATAATGAAGGCACACAGGCATTCAAGTAGGACGCCTTCAGGATTGTTAGGGTTCAGTATTAATTCCTGAGGTTTAGAGAGTCAGGCTAAGGCAGGGGTCAGAATCCAAAATAATAAGAAGAGGTTTTTTTTCGAATTCGGTACTAAACTCAATGTTTCAAGAGCCGCAATGCAATGTGAATACAAATATACACACGTGAATACACACACACGTGATTACACACACACGTGAACACACACGTGTGAACACACACGTGTGAACACACACGTGAGTACGCACACACACGTGATTACACACACACACGTGATCACACACACGTGAGTATACACACACACGTGATTACATACACACACACACGAACACACACACACACACACGTGATAACACACACACGAACACGCACACACACGTGATTACACACACACACGAACACACACACGAACACACACACGTGATTACACACACACGTGAATACACACACACGTGAATACACACACACACACGTGATCACACACACACGAAGCAGTGCGTGAAGAGCCGCAGGTTGCCGACCCCGGGCTCATGCAACTTTTGGATTCTCGAGGTGAGTCACAGCTCAGAGGAACAGATCAGGGCACCTTCCACGACTCGTACAAATTCAGTGGCAGTTTCAAAAGTAACCTCCTTCCCTTCCAGTGGTGGCTAAATCACATTCCATAAACAACAAAAGCCAAAGCACTCGAAGCAATGTTTACAATGTCATTTTCTATCCTTCCTCATTTACAGCTTCTCACCATCGTTAAGGACATCACAGGCATCGCCCAAGCCTACTGCAAGGGCATATTTAGCCGCGGGATAAATTACGTTTAACGTAGGCACGCACAAGACAAAGATCCCCAGTATAGCCTTGACATACTGTTGGGGCAAGTGCTGTTAGCCAGCATTTGTCTCCCTAGTAGCAATGTTTACACATCGCATCAGCTACTCATTTGAGGCTGAGTCGACCTAGGGGAGGCCCATGACCGGTTTAGATAATCGTCGCTGGTGTTGGCTGTGAGCCAGAATCGAACTCGAGCCGCCGGGTTCGAAGCGCAGCGCTCCAGCTTCCCCTTTGAAACACACAAGCAGGGAGACGCACGCACAGAGACACACACACCAATACCACCACCCCCCGCCATTCGCTACTAAGTGACGGCGGGCGTCACCACGGCGCCGGTGCCAGGCCAGGTGCACTTTGAGGCCACGTGAAGTGTCGACGGCTCTCTGACAAAGTCTCTGGACAGACCCAGGTGCCATGGATTGCCTGTTACATGCACCAGTTATACCCTTACTGTGCCAACTTGCTGTACTTTAGCTACCCGTTGTTGTGAGCGTCGCTCCACTGCCCTCCGTGTTGCTGGAGGGCGACTGCCTCCAACTGCCCAGTAGCAGCGTCCTTCACGAGCCTCCTCCACAGAGGCCGATCTTGACACCCGTGATACCGTTCGTCGGAAAGTCCACTCAGCTCAACATCCTCCCGTACCGCATCAGCTCCATCTCTACTTCAGCCACACGCAAAAAAAAACACACATACACACACACAAGTACAGAATCACACACAGAGACACACGCACGGAGACACACACACACACACAAGTACAGAATCACACACAGAGACACACGCACGGAGACACACACACACAAGCACAGAATCACACACGAAGACACACGAACGGAGATACACACACCACACAAGCACAAACTCACACACGGAGACACACACACGAAGACGCAGACGCACGGAGGCACACCTGTACTTTTATTTATTTATTAGTTCGCGCTTGATCGGTTGATTGCAAATTGCGCAATCGCGTGGATAATTACGCGTGTTAGTGTGAGCACACACGCGCGCGTGCACAGGCAGTGTGGAAAAGAAAAGAGAGAGAGAGAGAAAAAAACCACAACGATTGTGAGAAAAAAAATATTCTTTCCAACCGTAACGACCCCCGGGGTAACGAGCGCAAAGTGGGGGAGGGCGGGGCCCAGCTGGGCCAGGGTGCGGTTCGGTGGGCTGCAGGTGTGGAGGCGACAGTGAGGATGGATGAGAAGACGCTGGGCAGCTAGGGCAACTCCTCGTTGAACGCGGTAGATGGGTTCCTGAGAAGTGCCTCGTTAAGCGAAAAAACGCCTGAAGCGAAAGAAATTTCCCCCAAAAATAATCTAACGACGATCAAGTTTTGGCGTGGTGCGATGTCACTCCGACTACGACGCAACAAATAACGGAGGGTACGACGCGCGCGTTACTCGAATGTTTCGCGTAATGTATCACTGCACCGCTGAGGTGTTAACGCCGCGTGAGCCGGGCGGTGGTGGTGGTGGCGACGCCGCCGCCTGTAATCCAGCACTCTGGAGGCAGCAGCAAGAGCTACACAGACTGTGTACTAGACAGACAGACTGTGTACTAGACAGACAGACTGCGCAGTGCTCGGAGCTAGATTTGCGATGTGACTGCGAATTCGCGTGATTTTGCCTGCCGAATATGGGTACTCGATGCCAACTGACAGCGTAAATAGCGACGAAGCGTACACATTCGAGGTAATGCAATCTTTTAATACAAAATGCTATATATTTTTTTAACTAAGTCCAATCTTCAATTTCCTCACAAAGAGCGGCCCACCGACCCTCGGAATGGACCGCCCAGACGGCCATTTGCCCTACGGACTGCTGCCCTCTGGGACAGCCCAGGTAGGTAGCAAACCGCGCAAATCGCAGGTGCGGGATGATGGGTGACGCGGCCCCACGTGGGGGGCTCCCTCGCCCCCCCCCCACTTGGTGATTCTCTACCGGAGTCAGAGAGGCCCGCGGTGATGAATGCCTCGCGCAGGTGGCGAGTGGAAGGGAGGAGGGGGGGGGCGAGTGGAAGGGAGGAGGGGGGGGCGAGTGGAAGGGAGGAGGAGGGGGGGGCGAGTGGAAGGGAGGAGGGGGGGGCGAGTGGAAGGGGGAGGAGGGGGGGGGGCGAGTGGAAGGGAGGAGGGGGGGGGCGAGTGGAAGGGAGGAGGGGGGGGGGCGAGTGGAAGGGAGGAGGGGGGGGGGCGAGTGGAAGGAGGAGGGGGGGGCGAGTGGAAGGGAGGAGGGGGGGGGCGAGTGGAAGGGAGGGGGGGGGGGGCGAGTGGAAGGGAGGAGGGGGGGGGGCGAGTGGAAGGGAGGAGGAGGGGGGGGCTCACAGAGGCGGCGATGAAATGAGAAAAGGAGACGTCAGGTTTGGGGCGTGCGTTCGTTTGTCGCGGGGGTGGGTGGGTGGGTGTGGGTGGGGGTGGGTGGGTGGGTGTGGGTGGGTGTGGGTGGGTGGTGGTGGGTGTGGGTGGGGGTGGGGGTGGGTGGGTGTGGGTGTGGGTGGGGGTGGGTGGGTGTGGGTGGGGGTGGGGGGGGTGGGGGTGGGTGTGGGTGGTGGTGTGGGTGGGTGGTGGTGGGTGGGGGGGTGTGGTGGGGGGGTGGGTGGGTGGGTGTGGGTGGGGGTGGGTGGGTGGTGGGGTGGGTGGTGGTCGGTGGGGGTGGGTGGTGGTGGGGGGGTGGGTGTGGGGGTGGTGGGTGGGGGTGGGTGGTGGTGGGGGGGTGGGTGTGGGTGTGTGTGGGTGGGTGGTGGTGGGTGGAGTGGGTGGGTGTGGGTGGGTGGGGGGGGGGGTGTGGGGGTGGGTGGGTGTGGGTGGGGTGCACGGCGGAGGGACATTGATGTCGGGGGACGCGTTGTGGTGGAGGCGGGTGGAGGCGGGGGGTGCGGTGGAGCAGTGGGAGGGGGTGGCATGGAGAGACAAAGCGGGCAAAGCGAGGCCACTTGGCGGATCAAACCACCCTAGAAATCCGGCAAACACGCGGGGTCACGCGGCCCCCTTTTGTGTGGCGCCTGACCCCAGAGCACAATGATGGGGGGGGGGGCGAGTTTGGTGCTCATAGGGGGGGAACAATTGCGCTCAACCTTGTGTTTGTTTTTGTTGGTGGTGTTGCTGCTGCTGCTGTTGATGTTGTTGTTGAAGTTGTGGGAGGTGGTGGTTTTTCGCGTGAAGGTGGTGGGGGTCCCCGTTTGCTTGTGCGAGTTATTGCGACAGCCGAAAAGTGTTGAAGGCCCCCCCCCCCCCAATAAATTGTTTACTTGAAACGCCACCGGTG